TTTGAACCACAGTTTATAAATTATTATGGCTGAGTTTTTGAATGAAAACCTAATTCTATTTTAAAACAAAGAACTCTTGTATTGTTATTGTAATAATCTAGAAAAACGAAAAACTTACCGCAAAACCAAGTATCGGAAAATTAATTGTGGCGTCATCGGATTATTGGCAACTTTTTCTTTAAAAGGGTTTTTTTGTTAAAAAGTTTTTTTTTTTATTTCTAAGTCGTCAAGGTCGGAAGTCAAAAATCAGAGGTAAAAAAAAACGGAAAATTACAAGGTTATATTTTCCGTTGTTTTTACTCATATTTCCCTTTTAGAAACGAAATTAACTTCATTTCTCCTCTTTTCTTTTGAAACGTAAGTTGTTTAGCTATTTAGTAATAGTTAATAGCGTTATTAAATTATGCTAATACTTTTTTTTATTTTTTTTAGGCTCTCTTCGCGGTAGGCCTTTTGGGTGTGCTAAATGGTATTTTTTAGCTTTTAAGACAGAATCTTGAACTATTCTTTCGTGGTAAGTTCTTCAGATAGTTATGTGATGTTAATGGCAATACTAATACCATTTATTTCATTTTTTAGGTTCCTGATACCTTTCTTGGTTAAAACAGATGGTAGTATGTATGCGTAGTTTAATGGCATTATGTAGTAATACTAGCGCCTTATTTTTCTTTTTTCTAGATTCCTGCTCCTGACGGTTATTAAATTTTTTTTTGAACGAAATAGTCGGTGTGTAAGGTGTGGTGTTGTTAATGCGCGTTAGAAAACTTTACTAATGTTATTTTAGGTTTTGGACAATTCTTGGACGAAATAGCCGGTATAATGCAAATCTTATTATATTTGTAACAATAACATCGTAATATTTATTAATAGAATAGCTTATTATATTTAACTAGCATATTATATTTAGCTAATGTATTTATTATATTTTATTATTTAATTAGTATATTATTGATTAATTTATTATTAATAGCGTATTACAATAATGTAATAATAGAAATTTTATATTTACTATTTATTATATAATATTAAATAAAAAGTCGTTACATATTTATACTATTTATTTATAAAATTGGTTGAATATTGCGCTTCCTATATAAACGATATATACCTGATTTTATCGAAAAGTTATAGATACATCAGATTATATTAGGATACCCGATGTTCCTTCTGATATTCACCCTAAATTTATCCGATACTTACCTGAAAAATGCCAACCCGATAGATCCATAACATCATGCAGAGTCATCGGACTTCTTTCAGACTGAATCTAAACAGAATCTAAAAAAAATATATACTTTTTACATTGATGAATTTTTTTTTTTTGATCTGCTAATCATTTTACCATTAATGCAATAACCTTGGCCTAAAATAAATAAAAAATCATTTTTTATTACCATGAAATTAATTAGCCACATGCTAAGCCTGCTAAGCCTAAAAAAAAAATTATAAAAATATATGAAATTAATTAGCCACATGCTAAGCATATAAATAATGATTAGTAAGATTGGCGAAACAATTTTCGTCCCAATTTTTTTAAAAAAAATGTCTAATGAAAATTCTCAATCTGCAGAATTGTCAGAGCAACCTCAAACGCCTATTTTAATAAAAAATCCAGGAGGGTCGTCCATTATGTGCTGTTTGGGAGTATTTTGAGAAGGAAGCTCTTTCCTCAGCAGGGAATTTCTCTGCAAAATGTAAATTTTGTTTGAAATTTCTTCCACAAGGAAGACCAAATAAGTTTGCAAGTTCACTTGGCTAAGTATTGTAATATTGTAATAAATGTCCTGACAATATTCGTTTAAAATATACAAACATAATTATTGAAGATGAAAATGATGTATCAAGTAAAAAACAGAATTTTCAAACTGTTTTTATTTCTAAAATAAAAGTAATTGATCGAGCTTGGTTAAAAACTTTTGTTGCTTGTGGATTACCATTTTCTGCTATTGTAAATCCATTTTTTATCGATGCAATCAAATCATTAAGAGCAAGTTATAATCCATCATCACGAGGTTGTCTTTCTGGAACTCTTTTGGATCGTGAAGTTATATCAATTAATTCAAAGGTTAACAATATTTTGTCAAAAGTAATAATTTTATGCTAGATAAATTGTATTTATTTTATTAAATTATTTTCATAAGTTTTTAATATAATTATTTTTAATAATATATGGTTGGTCCAATCCAAATGGATTTTCTCTTTATAATTTTGTTATTATAACTTTGTTATTATAACTTCAGATAAACAAGTATTTTTATATTCACTTAAAGACTTATCTGGAGTTAGGAATCAGAAATGCGAAATGTAATTGATGAAATTGGTTTTAATAAGTTTGCTGCTATTGTCTCAGATAATGCTCCTACTATAGTTGCAGCTCACAAAAAATTATCAGAAAATTATCCACATATTATGAATATTCATTGTGTGGCACATTTTGTAAATTTAATTACAAAGGATTTTTAGATAAATTTTATTGATTTATTATATGTTTATTATAATGTTTAATTAATTCTCTTTTTTTTAGGAAAATTCTTTTCCAAAACATATTCTTCAATGTTGTAATATATTGTTTCGTTTCTTTAAAACTTCACATATGGGTGGGTTCTTGTTTTGAAAATTTATAGAAGAAATAAATATTTCTGGTAGTAATTTAAAACTTATTGTAAAACTAGGGAGGCATTATGCTATGATACAGTAAGTTTAGTTGCATGTCTTCAAGAACCTTAACCTTTAGAAAAAATAAATATGATTTTAAGATAATTTGTTAATATTTTAATTATATAAAGCATTAAATTTTATTTTTTAATTATTAAATTAGATTAAACATGAAAACTTTAAAAAAATTACAAATCAAAATTTGAAGAAGATTTTTAATTCTTGTATTATAACAAATCTACTGTTATTTATTACATCACATATAATTTAGCATTATTTTTATATTAAGACCTTTTGGTAAACATTTAAATGATTCAGTACAGCAAATTTTCAGTTATACTTTAAAATTCAACATGAAAATTATAATAAATTGACTGTCGTTTGTTACATTGTATATAATACAGCATTATATTAATCAGGTTTTGATTTATTATAAAAAATTTATATTACAAAATAAAAGTTAACGAATATGGAATTTATGATTTATCAGATTTATGGCTAAATATTTAACAGCATTTGGACAAGTAGAAATTTTATATTTTACTGGTACAAATCGATAAATAATATTATGCACTGAAATAATACTGTCACGACTATCAGGAAAAAATTCATTTTTTCATAGTTCAATATTACAAGAGTTTTCATTATCATCAATACTAAAATAATATTGAATTTTATATGTTTCTGCTGGCTTATACCACTGAATAAATGCCAAATTATGTTCTGCCAGTTTATCCTCAAAATTGATTATATACTTAAAAAAATACTTTTTTTGACCAGCATAACAGTCAATCTGATTATCAAATGTTATAAATTTGCTAAAATAAATGAACTTTTCACGTCAAGATAACATGTCCGAGCCAAACACCTCTGAACCAATTCAACACTGACCAAATTTATTTATTTTAATATAACTAAGTATGATCGAATCTTCAGGACTGTCGTTGAATGGTACTTTAAAATTGTATTTTTTATATATTGTCATGTAATATTCAACCATTAAATCAAGCATTGACTTAAACAATATCACATTGAATTTAGGACTTAACATTTCTTCAAAAATGGTTCACATCCAGTAATAATTGATTTCTGTATATTTTTCGAACTAGACCAAAATCACTCTATTTCATTAGATAAATATTCGTCATTTACTAATAACGAACCAACAACAGTTTGATTATCAAGAAATCTAAACCTTTTGTTTGAATATCTATCGAACTACTGATTTCTCTAATACGATTATTGTTCATTAATATGCACATTATTTCTGACCCAATTGTCTATGACTACTCAGTAACAAACCTAAATAATATTAATATATTTTATTATTTATTAGTACATTTCGTTATAAAAATTGGCAAAAAAAAACAGAAACTACAATTACCGTGGATCTCATTCATACGCTCAAATGAGAAACACCAGAAAGTATATAACGGATCAAAATCATATGAGCATTCTCGTAAATGAAGCGAAATGTAGAGATTCAGTATTATTTTATTACGCTCGTAATGTTTTTCAATAAGTTTTACTATTTTAATCAACCTTTCATGAGCTTCTTGTATCAATAAAGTTCCAGAATTCGACCTATCAGAATTGAACAAACTCTAATAAAATGTGTTAGAATCATTCGATTGATTATTTATAGATGTTTTCAAAGTGATATAGTTGCATAAATTGTATAAAATGTTCACTATTGATCTGCTGTAAAGTTAGAAAAACCTTCACTGCAGTCAATTTTTCAAGGGATTCTATCCAAATCAGCTAGAACTTGAATCTGATTCATATTTCTTTAGATACTTTTAAAAGCATCTGAAGTTAAAACCTTCTCATTGATCCAAATTTGTTTAACTATCCATTTCGTTATACCTAAAAATAGACAATGCATTGGGTTGACCATTACAAATCGAATTGGACCAAAGTATGGTAAACAAAGTAACTCAGACCATCTAATACTAGTATGCTTTATAAATCGCTTTCTGTCAACGTCTGAATTACACCTTCACCAGCCAAACATATCTTCTCGATATTGTGACGAATCTCAAAGAGTAAACCATTCATTCATATTACTCATTCCAGCAAAATTATGTTACCGATTTTTATAATTTGCCTAGAGTTCTGAATTTGACCTAACAGATCAGATGACATGACAGGTTGACCCAAAAATTTTAGGTCAGATCTACAATTTAATGATCTGACATCAGGTCGGGTTAAGTTCTTAATTCGATCTGTTAGATCTGGATCAATTTATAATAAATTTACTAACTATATTATTAATTGATCATCAATCTTTTTTTTATCATCTTTTTTTTTCATATCTTGAATACTTACATTCTCAAATATATAAAATGTCTAACAAAAATTTTTCAAAACGTCCTTATTACGAAATTAATTCAGACTTAGAAAAGAACACTCTTAATGAAGAACTCAACTTAGATAAAGAAAGCAGTGAACTTCTAGAAAAATCAAATTCTATTTTAAGCTTACTAGACGAAAATGATAAAAAAAATAAAAGTGCTGTGTGGGACCATTTTGATAAATTTGTAGATAATAAAGGTGTTATATGAGCAAAGTGTCAATATTGTTTGTAAGAGATAATACAAGCATTTTTGAATAAATTTGTCTGTATTTCTACATGGATAGGAACAAATGTTTTTTTAATTGAAACATATTTTTTTTTAAAAAAAAACTATTTTTATTAGAAGTGACAAGTATAATATAAGCAGCAGAAGTTCAACTGGTAACTTAAATCATCATCTTAAGTCACATCCAGAGAAAATTGATCCTAAAATTGCGAAACAAGCAGAACTCATGAAAAAATTTCTATAGTCAGATGATAAAATAGTGAGTATAATTTATTCTATTTTTATTTTACCTTAAAGTGATAAATTATTTAATTATTATATTCATTTTATTTAAACATATTTTAATGAAATTTTTCGGGAAATACTTGCTAAATGGATCGCTGCTGATAATCAACCATTCACTGTCATTGAATCACCTGAGTTTCATAATTTAATAAAACTTTGCAATCCAGTAGCATATATTCCATCAGCGGACACAGTGAAAAATGATATTATTAAGTTATATAATAGCTATAATACAAATTTGCAAAATATATTACAGGTTAGTAAAATAAATTATAATATTTACAAATTACAATTATTATTTAATTAAAATAATTTGCCATTAATTAAAGAACAATCTAGGGAAAATAAGCTTCACATTAGACAGGTGAACGTTATCTAATATTATTGGATTTCTTGGCATAACAGCCCATTATATTGATTCTGACTGGAATCTTAAAGATGTTCTTGTAGATTTTGTTTATCTTGCAGGATTCCATTCAGGTGAAAATTTAGCACAAGCATTCGTGAAATCCCTTCAAAATAAAAAAAATTAACCAAGGCAAGTGATAAGTTTATTTTTACTTTATATAATAAATTTAATAAGTTAATCACTTACTATTAGATCCTTGGAATCATAGCTGATAATGCTGCGAATAATAACACTTTTTTAAGGGTTCTTGAACAAATTTGCAGTGAAAATCAGATTGATTTTCATCACCAACGAAATCATATCAGATGTATCGCTCATATTATAAATCTCACAGTTCAAGAAATATTAAATCATATTAAAGTTAAAGATGCAAAGGATGAAAATTTGATTTTAGAAGAACTTGAAAAGAAAAATGCCCATTTATGCAGAATGATACCCAAGGTAAACTCATAAAATATGGATTATATTATTTATTAAAAATATGTTATATGTATTTACAATAAACTCAAAATATTAATAATATTTTAGCTAAGAAGACTCATTGTAAAGATCCGAGCCTCTTTACAACGCAGAGCAAGATTTTCCAGTAGTGTGATCTTTATCAAGACGTTAAAAATCTAAACCTCATTTTAGATGTTAAGACGAGGTGGAACTCTACGTATTTGATGCTAAAACGTGCACTTGAACTTCAGAAGGTAATATTTATTAAAAATTTAGAAATAAATTATAAAAATTATTCATTATATTTGTGATTATATTTAGCTCCTTAATGATACAACAATGATCAAACAGGAATTAAAAAATTTTTTAATTTTGACAGAGGAATGGAATCACATAAAAGAATTATATCGTATATTTGAGGTGAAGGCTTTTTTCGTTAAATTTTATTGCATTTCAAATTCAAACTCAAATCATTTCTAAGTACAATTCTATATATAATTTAGATTTTTCATAAAGCAACTGAAGAAATGTCAAAATCACAATACGTTACACTTTCTTCTTTGATTCCTATATACAACGTTTTGCTAGATCATTTAGAAAAACTCCTTGATAGCGAATATAGAGAGTTTTATATAATTCCTAAAGTAAGAACTGCTATAGCAAAAGTGTACGAAAAGCTTAAGACTTATTACCCTAAAACAGATCAATCAATTGTCTATCCGATTGCAACAAGTATTAAATATTTAATTTAAATTTTTTTTCGTTAAAATTTATTTAATCTCTAATAATATATTTATTATATTATTTTTAATTCTTGATTCTCGAATAAAATTAAAGTACTATCGGTAACAAAAATGGGAACAAGAGTTTATCGATAATGCATTAAAAATTGTTAGTGATACGTACAATAAGTATTACCGAGATAATTCTTTAGTTGCTAATGATCCAGCTCAAGATCAAAATAAAAGCAATTTTTTTGGCTTGTTCGAAATAGGTAATGATTCTTCTGATGAAGATGAACTAGAAGAATATCTTCGTTAATTTTAAAACTAATCCACTATAATAGTGGAAAGTAAGTAAATTTATAGCGTGTAGCAATTTTTTTTATGATATATAGTTTAACTAATATAACTATGTGTATTACAGGCATACGAAGTTACTTATCCACATCTAGCAACTATGGCTCAGGATTTTTTAGCAATTCCAGGTAAATACAATAATAAAACATATAAATTTTATTTAATATTTTTCCTTTATTGACAAAACTAATATATAGTTTCAATAATAGGAACCAGTGTACCTGTTGAGCAGGTATTTTCCAGTGGGGCTGACCTGTTGGCAAAAAAATGTTATAATTTAGGAAAAGAATCAATTCAGGCATGCATGTGCCTTAATTCGTGATCCGTGTAACAATCAGAGAAAATTACTATGCTAAATCGGGGGAATTTTTGTAGATCATTTAGTCTAAATGAAAAAATTGCATT